GCCCTGCCCCCGCCTGTGGCATCACCCACTCGGCACTGTCTGCCCTTCTCTGGCGGGCTGCCCCCTCACACCTTTGATCACGTCTGCTGTGGGCAGCAGCGTCCACTTCTCTGACCCTGTCTGCCTCTTGCCAGGCATTTGGCCCTTCCAGTTCATAGTATGGCCGCCCCTGCCCCCCGCCCTCCCACCCCCTGCCTCACTGGCTGTGTGCACTCAGCAGCCCCAGGCTCGGAGCAGCCAGAAGGGGCGCAGACACAGCTACTTCAGGGGGTCAGGCCTGCTCAGCTGAGACCCCGCTGGGCAGGGTGTCTGGACATGCCTCAGAGATCCCCTGTGTGGGGCCCAGAGGGCCTCTCAGGCCTCTCCACACCCTCTCAGTGCCCGGAGGCAGGCCCCTGTGTGGCGCAGGCTACGGTGGCCACAACCCATGTGCAGAAGCCCAGCCTAGCCCACCATCGGAGCCCCTCCAGAGGCTCCTCCCCGTTCCATCTCTGGGGTCTGCACCTGGATGCAGCCCAGCCCAGCCTGCTCCGCCATGAGGGGCGTGCCGACACACTGCCTGCCGGGAAGCAGCCCTCAGTGGGCTCTGTCCTGGGGCTGCACACAGCCTGGCACATCAGGCCAGTGTGGGCCCTGGGGAGCTCCATGGGACCTGAGGGCAGGTTGGGGGTGTGTGGCCGCGGACGGCTGCAGGCAGTCGGGCAGTGCTCTCAGCCCTCTGGCTCTCGCCCATTTCTCTCACTGCTCGTCTGCAGAGTCACATGCTGCAGTCTGTGCGCTGCCGGCAGGTGACACGCCTGGCCCCACCCTCACTTTGTTGCCAGATGGCAGGAGGGGGCCTGTGGATCCTGTGAGGGCCAGCGGCCAGGCAGCCAGGCCTGTGTAGCCTGGGCGGCCTGAGGGCGCAGCTCACCCAGCTCCACCTGTCCCTGCAGGAGAAGCGTGGGCTGCGGGAGGTTCGTGTGCTGCAGAGTCTCCAGAACGGGACCCAGGAGACCCGTGACCAGGTCCTTCCCCGCTGCCAGGAGGCTATGGGGCGCAGCCTGAGCCCTGTCCTGCACACACGTAAGGAGGGATGCAGCTCCTGGCATGCGCCCGTGACCTGGGAGAGGGGTGGTGCCCGGGAGGCCACACTGGGAGGGGCTCAGCCTCGCAGTCCTTCAGGCTGGCAGGTCAGAGCAGTTTCTCCTTCTCTGCTGTTTCTTCCTTAACCATTTAAGGAATAATGAATGATCTCCTCCTCTGTGAACGGGAGCCAGGGCCGGGAGGATGCTACAGTGAGCTTGTCCTCGAGGCAAACGGACGCCTCTGCTGGCTCTGGGACAGCAGGCTAGGGGCAGCAGCCTGGCAGGAAGTGGAGGGGCCATTGTGGACAGAGGTGGCAGGCAGTGCAGAGGCCTGAGGGGTGACACCAGTGCCAGCTGCGTGGGCGTGTCGGGAGAGGGTCCCAGGTGGAGGACGCCATGTCCTGAAGGCTCCATCCATGTGTCACTGCCCCAGCAGCCACCCCCAAGCGGTGCATAGGTGTCCCCGGCAGCCTGTGCTCATGAGGGCTCCCGCCCAGCCCACAGGGACAGGTAGACCGGGGGCGCTGGGGAACGTCTGAGATTCGGGTCCCATCAGCCCAGAGCCACGGCTGGGGTGACGCTGAGGGCAGTAAGCCAGGCAAGGCCCTCCAGGCCACCGGTCAGCCACACAGGTCAGCGTCAGCCTGGCTCTCGGTGCCCGCACAGCTCAGACATGGTGTCATGGAGCCCAGCCCTCGGTGCCCAGGGGCGCACAGGGTCTATTTTGGGGAGGGTTTGAGCCCTACATCCAGCCCAGGTGCGTCTCCCAGAGCCCCAGGCTGCTG